AGAGGTGTTAGAGATGGTCCAGGTAAACTTAAGGTTGGGGTGGAAGGTGTTAGTGAAGTGTATGAACTGTTCGAGCTCCTCGTGGGAGCACGAGGCGGCACCGATACAGTCATCAATGTAACGGAGGAAGAGGTGGGGTTTAGGGCCGGTGTAGGTACGGAAGAGGGATTGTTCCACGTAACCTACAAAGAGGCAGGCGTAGCTTGGGCCCATGCGGGTACCCATGGCTACCCCCTTTGTCTGTAGGAAGTGGGAGGAATTGAAAGAGAAGTTGTTGAGTGTGAGGACGAGTTCGGCTAAGCGGATGAGGGTGTCAGTGGAGGGGGACTGGTCGGGCCTGCGGGACAAGAAGAAGCGGAGGGCCTTAAGGCCATCTGCATGGGGAATGCAGGTGTAGAGGGACTGGACGTCCATGGTAAAGATGAAGTCTGTTTGTTTTTGTTCTGGGAAACACATATTCCCAGAATTATAGAACTTTTGTCAAACCAGGCCTGATTATGACAATTCTCAAACCAAGTGGTCTGGACACTGGAATCTAATATAGCTCATTTTATTTGATTTCCCCCATTCTGGGATGAAGGTTGTCCAAATTGGTTGTGATCTGCATTTGAAATTTCTTACCACTTTCAGGCCACTCTTAGGACTGAGAGTTTGATATTCTTTCTCATGGATGTCTGGGTCTTGTGCTGTCCTAGTGCATGGTGGATATTCATCATCAGTTGAACAATATGATGATCTGTCCAGCAGGCATCCATCAACCATGTGGATTGAAGGTGCAGTCATCACTTTGATCTTTGAAATAAACAGTAATAAAATACAGGAGATGACAATGCTTTGATTTAGGATGGTTCTACGTAGTATTGTGTTTGTCTTCATGATGGAAGAAGGTGTTTGTCATAATAAAGCCGTTCAATGTCCTCTTTGTCAGCAGTAACATGCCACTCACATTGACTTTTCCCATTCTGCTTTCTTCCCCAGTGGTTCTATTCTAGACATTGGAGTCATGTCTACCCTTGATATTAAAGTTCCCTCGAATGAAGATTATTTCTTCTCTGGGATGGCAGTGAGGATTTCATTCAGGTCAGAATATTACATTCCCTTAAGTCCTTCTCTGGAATCTAGGATCAGGGCATGAATGCTGATGGCAGTGGCCTACTCTATGTCCATTGAGGGCTCTAGAGAAAAGTTTCATGAGTCTTCCACTTATTGGGAATACTTGTCATGCATCTATAGTCCTATCCAAGATAGCTACACCAACTCTGAATGAGAGTTGCTGGAAAGAACATACAGAGTACCCCTCATCACAATTTCAACTAAGAGTCTCCAGGCTATATCCAGCATCCTGTGGGAGTATCCATGGGTAAGTCACCACCAATGTTGGAAGTGTGCCTTATTGACTTATGAATTTGAGACAAAAGCCATTGTTAGCTTTTTCTTTAATATAGGCTGTCTACCATCTGCTTGTTCCTTCAGCTACTGCTCCCTGGGTAGATGGGGACTGGGATGTCCTTACAGAGAATGGCAATGCCAATTCTACTTCTTGCAAAATTTTGCAATTTGAAACAGTTTGGAAAGCTCCAAACAATGAAAGATTTGGAGTAACAATCAGAATAAATCAGTTGCACCAGCTCAGCCTTGAACAAACTACAACAGTGAACATTTGACAACAAAGACTTTTGCAAATCAACAAAAGTCCCAGACACAGAGCTATTGTTGTCATTGCACTCCTATGACTAAGCAAGATGTGGACTGTGCATCAACAACAGAAAAAGCTCAAAAGAAATTCCAGCAACAATGCTAATGCTGTCAAATGAGGTTTAAACTGGACTGGCAGGGGTATGAGAACCTGAAGGCAGATTCAGAGAGAACAACTTCTGAGCAAGGAACAAGAAATAGAAAATTGGTGAGTGACTCTGAATGACAGAAGAAGTGGAGATTAAAATTTGTAAATCACAGGAAATTAGTGGTGGTAAAATATGGAAATGCAAGAAGCTGAGCAAATAAAGGCACAGGTTGACACATAGCAGCGTGATATTATTGCTACAAAGAAAGCTTGGCTCAAAGAGGAGCAAAATAATACCTCAACATTCCTCGATGTAGAGTTTTCAGGCAGCATAGGAAAATGGATAAATAAAGGCAGGGTGTAACATTATTAGTTAAGGAATCAATTATAGCTGTAAAAAGGGACACTATACTAAATGAATCATCAAATGAGGCCATGTGAGTTGAGCTCAGAAATAAAACAGGAGCAGCCTTGCTGCTAGGAGTGTACTGCAGACTCCTCAAATTAGCGGGAGAGAAACAGAAGAGCAATTATTGAGGCAAATTTCGGAGTACAAAAACAATGGAGCAATCATATTTGGGGAACTTCAACTCTGCAAAAATCAAGTCAAACACGAATAGTGTGGAAGGCATGAAGGGCAAAACAATCTTGAAAAACAGACAAGGAAACATTTTTAGCCATCACATAACTATGAGAGAGGCCGTAATTCTGGATTTAATCTTTGGAAATAAAGTAAGGCAAGTGGGTGCAGTAGGAGTGGTGACTGTTTTGGAGTTCATGATCATAATGCTGTTAGACTTAGCATCATTATGGAAAGGGACAAAAGTATAATAACAGTAAAAGTTGTCAATTGGGGGAAGCTGGGAAGTGATCAAATGAAAGTATACTGGATAGAGTTACTTGAAGGAAAATTAGTGTAAAATCACAGGAGGCATTTACAGACCAGACACATCTTAACAATGAAAAATGTTGGTACCCCCAAATCTAGAGTCTCCTGGTTACCCAGAAGTCTACAGGTTAAGATAAAGCAGAAAGAGAAAGCTAATGATAGTTACCAAAAACGTAATACTTTAGAAAGCCTAGAGGAATAGAGAAAGTGCAGGACTGAAGTAAAACAAGGAAGCCATATATAAGCCATATATGTAAGCCATATAATCTCTTTGATTTCCCATACAAAATTGGTCAGTGAAATCAAGAAAATTCTAAAAGATTTAATCAGTATATTAAGAGCATGAGGATGACCAGGAAAAGCATAGGACCTATCAGAGATGAACAAGATAACTTATGTATGGATACTGAAGATCTATACAGGGCTATTCATAGAACTTTTTCTCTGTCTTTACAAAGGAGAGAGATGATGCAGACATTCTAGTTATTGAGAAGGAGAGTAAAATATTAGATAAAATGAGCATGGTGTGAAAGGATGTATTGGAAGTAGATGAGGTGGAAAAAATTGCGCTGCTTTCCTTTACTGAATGGGGTATTGAATATAAAAGCTGGGACACATTGCTGGAACTATATAAAATCCTGGTTAGGCCACAGCTAGAATTTGGTGGAGAGTTCTCATCATTGCATTATTGGAAGGACATAATTACCCAGAGAGAATAAGGAGGAGATTTGCAATAATGTTGTTAGGGCTTGAAAATTGCAGTTATGGGGAAAGATTAGATAAGCTATGGTTATTCATCTTAGGACAACGGAGGCTGAGGGGTGATTTAACTGAAGTGCACAAAATGATGAAGGGGCATAGGTAAGATAGATGGTAAAGAGTTGTTTTCCCTGGTGGAGACGTCCATTACCAGGAGCCACAGATTTACGGTGATCAGTAAAACGATTAGAACAGACATGAAGAAAAATATTTTCACCCAATAATGTGGTGAGTATCTGGAATTTGCAGCATAGTTTGGTGGTGGAGGTGGAAACACTCAATTCCTTCCAATAGTGTGGCAACCATAACTGCAGGCAGTACTCCAGCTGTGGCCTAACTAACATTAAACGCAGCTCCATCATAACCTCCTTGCTCTTGTACTCAATGCTTTGACCAATAAAGACAAGTGTCCCATAGGTCATCTTAATCACCTTATCCATATGTCCTGCTGCTTTCAAGGATCTATGGTCACACCAGGATCCCTCTGATCTTCTGTACTTCCTAGGGTCCAATGTGTGCTCCCTTGCTTTGTTAGTCTTCTCAAAATGCATTACCTCATACATTTCAGGATTAAGTTTCAGTTGCCACTTTTCAGCCTGTCTGACCAGTTCATCTATACCATCCTGTAATCTAAGGCTTTTCTCCTCATTATTAACAGATCACCAAGTTTCATATCATCCATGAACTTACTGATCATGCCTTTTATTATGGCACGACATATGTGGTATGACAGATGTTAGAACCCTTGCTGACTTTTCATTATGTTTATTCTTTTATCAAATTTGGTTTGGAGCTGTGCATTGTAACTTGTTGGCTGAAGAGGACTTTTGGACTTCAGGAAACAGCTTGTGCTAAAATGAAAAGAACAGACCAAATATGCTTTTGTTTGCTCGAGGCCAGGCCTAAAGGTTAATTGTGGGTTGATTCTTGATTAAAAGCGTTCCTCCAGACACAGCAATCCTGGGAAGAGCAGTGTGTTTAAACAGGTAGCAGAAGTTAGCTATAACAAGAACATCACCTGGGAACTAGTTCCAGTGAGTCTGGAAGAGACCCTATATTCAAACAGATGAGTGGTAATTTAGACCTCAGGAAAAGAAACAACAGTCAGTCTCACAGGGAAGAACCAGAGTGGAGTTTTTGTTTTGACCTTTGTTGTCTGGAGATAAGTGTTTAGCTGTTGGTAACTCAACATGAAGATTTGAAAGCTTCCTGCCTAATATCCCTTAACAGCTTTTAGCATAAAAGATGAGTTAGAAGGATTACTACCTCTAACCGAGTGAAATGAAAAGGTGACCCTGTTGATGTCTCCAGAAAAAAATCAAGGAGTCACCATCTATGCCAATGAAACTGTGCATCATGTAAACGATATAAGTATTCTGGCCAGTTTTGCTATTTTCTTTTATTTATCGCTTAACTGTGTTTGCTTGTCTGTCTCTCTTCTGTGTAAAAGGGGGCTGAAAACTATGTTTAAAGCATAGAGATTAATTAGATTAACTTGTTATTTAATTCATTTATTTTCTCTGCTGAAGTTATTGTATATTTAATAAATTTTAAGTCTTTCATTTTAAGATACAGAGCCAGTATATGGAATTAATTATTGGCAAAGTCTGGGACTTGTTATCAACTGTATGTTTAGGAACCATTGGAGTAACTACTGAAGGTCTACAAAGTGCTTAAGTTTACCGTGTTGTAAATACAGAGGTAGACAGGCAGACTTGATTCAGCTGTCTATCTCTGTGCTTTAACACCAAGATGGTATATGGCACATATATTAGTATTGAATCTCCCTTAGTGTAGTTCACTGTGGTTGGTTTGCTTGCCGAGCTGGTTCGCAGATGTTTCATTACCCTGCTGGGTAACATCATCAGTGCAGCCTCCGATGAAGCAATGTTGTGTTTTCCTGCCTGGTATTTAAACTCTGGGGGTCCATGTAGTTCTCTTTAAGCAAGTGTAGATTTTAAAACCTGATTAAAGTTACAAGAGTCTTTCCAGAGTGTGAGACAATCAAATCTTTTCTGAAGTCTTCCATTTCCAATTTACTTTCTTTTCTGAAAGTGCCAACACTTCTGAGGATATGGTCATTTTAAAAAATCCTAATTTAAAAACAATATCTACATTACTGTACATTGTTGGAGTGAGATTGAAATTAGTAAACCAATATTAACACAATCCACTTGCATTACAAGCCACATCACTGGTGAAATACTGCCATGAGACTGACTAATAGACTAGGAAGATTCCAACTTCCATTCTTGATCCACACTGACTTGGATAATTTCAAAAATCTGATGAGATCATCCCTATTTGCTTCAGCAAATGATTAGCAAAGTGTAAAAAAAATCAACTGCTTTGTCTAGTGATAATTGTTGAAAAGTGCACATAGTAGGCACAATCAGGCTAGATTTGGCAGTGATACTTCTGTGATTGAGTAGACTGTTGACATACTGTGTAAGGTCACAGATGGATTGTGGCTACAGAAGACCTGTCAAGAAAGAAGAAGGCAAATTGGAAGATAATTGATTTAGTTCAGGGAAGTAACTTACATGTATAACATGCACTTCACTGCTTTGTCTGCATTTGCATTATACTCTGGGGATGTATGGGAGGGCTTTGAAGTAAAAATGAGTTAAATGCACCAGACAGATGTGAATGTGATGTCATGCACACTACCCTTGTTTACAATATATTTATAAGCTGTAAACTTCAGTGAGCTGGAGGATCTGATTCTTAATTTATCTGAATTTGTCAAAAGACTCCATTTCCTTGGATTTCCTGCCAAATTTTAAAAAAAAACTTGCATTGATACAGAATCTTATACATCCGCTAGAAGTCTCACAGCGTTCTACTGACAATTAAGCACTTTGAAATGTAGTCAGTGTTGTAATGGTGAAAATGTGGCAGCCATTTTGTGCACAGCAAAGTCCCAAACATCAATGTGATAATGACCTCATTTGTTTTTGTGATGTTGATTGAATGATAGATATTGACCAGGAAATTAAGCAAAGCTTCCCTGCTCTCTTCAAAATAGTCCATGAAGGTCTTTTCACATCCACCTTGCAAGCAAATAATGTCTTGGCTTAACATCTTGTCCAAAAGGCAGCACCACTGACAGTATAGCACTCCATCACATTAGAAGGTCAGCCTTGTTTTTTGTGCTGAAGCCGCTGAACTGAGATTTGACCTCAGAACCTCATAACTCAGGGAAGAAAGGGCCAAGCCCAGAGCTAATTCTCCGTGAGAATTTTTCACCTTGCTTTGATTGTTACTCACTCTTACCAATTTGCTTTATTCTTAATCCTTGTTACATACTTCTTTTTACCCATTATTGCTAAATGTTCCAATTTATATGTTTTATCCTGAACATCTAAACATCTTGGACTTGAACTTCTCCATTTTGAATTTGTTTCTATGTTTCACTCTGTTTCTTTCTTTGCCACATCCATCCCTTTCCCTGACTACCTTGCCCTGTAGATCACACCTTAAAGCCATTTGTAATTTTTTCATCAAGAACGTTTTCCCTTGTCATCGTATTTATTGTCTCCCCGATTATAGACTCACATGCCTTCCTTAGTTTTAGTTAAGGTAACATCAGTTTTAATCACAGAAACGTTGACCATCCATTGCATTTTCTGTCTAGTGCACTTATCTAGGGCAATCTTCTTCATTCCTCTTCCCCTTCTTCTCCCTATTTTCTGGCAAAATAGGATTTACACCCCTTTGAAATGTTACTTTCTTATAAATCAGTCTCTTATTGATGACAAACTCATCGTCAAGGAATGTATTGATTCTGGACCTTAGCTCTTACTGAGATTTGTGCTGGCAATATTTATTTCCTCTTGTTTGATTTTACCCAGTCTTCTTTTAACCAGAGTTATCCTGAATATCATTTTGGCCTATTTACTGATTTTCCTAGCATTCACTTCTTTTGAATATTTCACTCCTTATCATTTCTCTTTCAATGTCTTCACAGTACATTTGAGATGACAAGAAGTATTAGGGTAGAACACAGAGCTATCCACACCCAGTGTTTGAATGGTTTTCATTTTAATGTAGTTTCTCCACCCGTGAACCCATTTTGAGGTTTGAAAATTGTCACAGCCACTCAGTGAGAACTGTGGGAATGAAGGGGATGGGCCTTAGGGTTTTAGGATCATAAGCCTGTTAGAACAGGAGTACAGCTGTTATAACTCAGCCAGAGTTCCACAGATGCCATTATTGCCACAGAGGTCTCCACCCAGCATTTCAGTTTCCAAGTTCAAGCAAATTACTGCAGATGCTGGAATCTGTACTAAAAACAAAAACGTGCTGGAAATCACAATGGATCAGGCAGCATCTGTGGAGAGGGAGCAAGCTAGTGTTTCGAGTTTAGAGACTCATCTAGACACGAAACATTAGCTTGCTTTCTCTCCACGGATGCTACCTGATCCACTGTGACTCCAATACTTGTTGTTTTCATTTCAGCTCCTGACCCCATCTGAGTTCCTGACTCCCACTTTTGCAAACTTGGTTTTAATGTGCCTGGAGGTGCAGCCTAATTCTAGACTCATAGCTGTGCCACAACAAAGATATGATTGGTTTTATTCAAAGTGGAGACTTTGTTTGACAGATGGCGAAGTCAGTCACAGAATGACATGGTCAGAAATGGGTGCCAATCCACTCTTGTGTCAGTCAGAAGAGTTTGAGAAAGGTATATAGCTTGTAAGAGAAACGATGTAACCTACTTGAAGGTGTGTAGTCAGATTTTTATGGTTCTGAAGATCTTGCTATGAGGTACTACCAGAGCCATAGCAATGGTCTTTTAACCTGCAAAATTAACGTGCAAAAATGCGTATGGCAGTTGATCGATGGATTACTATTTGGCCAGGCTTGAGAATTATGTAATTAATCTCTGTGATGACAAAGCTGGAAAAAATGGGTACTTGCATTTGTTTCTCTGGCTGACTTCCCACAGATACAGAGATGTTCTCAATTGCACATATGTGGCAGTCTGCACTTAGATCATGACACATGTGAGAAACCCCATCAATGAGACTCAAGAGCTTTCATTGCAACAAAAAACCACATGAGCAACAGCTTGCTCCAGAACAAACCACCAAAATGCTGAAGCTGCCCTTCAGCCATCTAGATAGATCAGGAGGAGCCGGGAAAACCACCAATAATTGTTGTCTTTTATAAAATCCTCTGTTGCATACCTCCAATGACCATCATTACCAGTGTCTTCAATAATCAATCCTACAGCCATGTGAGTGACACAGTATATGGAGCAGCAATGGCCAGAGTAGTGAGAAAGTACATAAAAAGTGAAGGAGTAATAAAGTGTAGTGATAATGCAAGACAGAATGAAAGGAGTGTGTGACATTTGTACCACAGGATATGGATGAATCAGCTAATCTTTCTCACTTTTCATGACCTAGTTAGGTAACTAAATCACTTCCTGTATTATATCCAAGTGAATTGTACAACAATCCAATTGCTCAGTTCACCTTCTTGGTGGGTTTCATCCTCTCATTCCCGAGGTCATGTCTGTCTGGACTGCTCCTGATTGAACCCAGGAGTAAACCTGTGATGCTTCACTGAGCCTGAGTGTTGGCCTAACTATATGTGCATCCATCCTCAGGCCAAACTGGCCCCTTCCAATTATACTTCCGCAATGACTTCTCAAGAAAGTGACTCGTTATTTGTGTCATCTGAGTGGGCATCATTATCCTCCACAAAACATGAAGTTATGAAACCTAGAAATCAAAATCAAAACAGAAACTGACGTGCAGACATTATTTCTGGGAATTGCTCATGTCTGCCCAGCCCCATATCTGAAGCCTTTAGTATTAAGAAACCTTAAATACTAATATTAATATCAGGACCACTGTACTCAACTATAATCCAATGGCAAGACTCACAGGTACAAATCTACAAAAGGACTGTTAAGAGAGAGCACTTTTTCATAAAGTGACTAATGAATAGATTAATACTCCAGGTTCAGCAGCAGAAGAAAACATTGTGATAAGGAATTGCAATTTTCTAGATAATAATGAGCGAGGTGGATCCCTAATATGTACTTTCATTGTATTACTACCCAGTAGATGGTGCTAGAAGACAGAAAACCCATTTTAAAGATGTATGAGCAATTTCCTATTCCAATCCCAGTGAATGTTGAACGGGGACACTCGTCTACTTTCCTAAGTGAACAACTTCTGCTTGTAGGACATGTTGTCTCTCAGCACATCTGCTGCTTAAAATCCCATTCATGCCTTTGGAATGTAGTTAAGTCTAGAGGTAACAATATACCCCAGCTAAAATCCTCTTCTATGGTGCACAGACTTGATGTCATCCAAAACTTTGATGCCAATGTCTTTAAGTTGCTGAATTGCTCAATTGCTTTTAGTAGCAATTCACTGTTAATGTGCAATGTCTGTGATGTAACCGTGCTGGATATGAAAATAGTTGCAAGAGTTTGCCACAAATTGAATTCATGGTTTTTCTTGATATCTCACAGATTGAAGGATTATTGTTACATTGCAGCATTAACCTTATTCATCTATGTGATATAAATTGTCACTGAATGACACTGTATGAGTTTCATTCCACAAAAGTAAACAGTCAGCATCATTGTGTTAGATACTATCTGGATGACATACCCAACCTATATTTTTCAATTTGTTAATTGGACATGGATGTCA